GATATTGCCTCTTCAAACCTTTCCTTCAGCAATAATACCTAATTGCGGAGCCCACAGCCTGTTTGCCTCTGACCGCACCGTTATTAGAGCGCGATTGCCCTCAAGTCCGTGCCGTTGCTGTAGGAAACGGGAACCAGTTCCTCCCCCGGGACGGCACAACACTTGGAGCGGCCCCAATAAAGCAGTGTCGGCCACACCTGACCACCCCACTCTCAGCCATGGCTCAGACGGACGCCGCCCCGCTGATGACGCCGCTGATGACGCTGATGACGTTGGTAACGTCAGCGGCTGCGGCTCTCTACGGCTGGCAGCAGGCGGTGACCCTCTCCGGAGCGCACGTGGAGGCCACCACCGCACCGTCAAAGATCACTTGCGGGATCAAATGTGAGGCCCAAGACCTGCACGACTGTACCGGCTTCAGTTATGAGCCGGATGACGGCACGTGTCGTCTGCTGTCTGGAGGCTGCCGCGGTCCGGCCGTCGATGGGCAGCAGGGCATCTATTTGAGTGCTCTGCGCCTACCAGGTAAGATTGGTTGGAAATATTAGTATTTGGATTGATAAAAGCGAAAATGTTTAGGTACGCATGAACATTAGTGTTCCAAGCTAGGAATCAGCAATAGAAGCCGAAGGCAGATACATGATTGGTTATATGCGAGTGTGATTTTGTAAACTACAATGCGTCCCAATAAAAAATTTACTCAGCTGAGCGTCAAAAACTTCTGTGATGGCTGTCTGGCAGACTCGAATAAGGTACACACCAGTCGACTGCTGGGGACATCACAAAATTAATCACACCACATACAATGCTGTTCACGTCGACAATCAACTTTCCTCGGAGGAGCTGGTGCTCAAATCACAGCCCGTGCTACACATCAACATGGTTAGATGCACCGTCTGCTGGCACTTTATCGTTATTTGTTCAGAATTTGCCTAACTTAACCCGCGAGTTGCTGGGGGGGGGGGCGTTAAACGCCCCCACTTTTTTCGCCGGGCCATAGCATAAAAACGGCGCGCCGCAGTCGCGCCAAAATTTGGGTACCTGTAGGGAATTGATTGAAGTTTATTGTGACAAAGTTTCAAAAAAATCAATCGGAAAATTTTTGAGATATCGAGGTTTTAGTGACGTCATGATTTCTGAGTTTTCGACCAAAAACGGCATATGTTCGAAAAATCATATAAAATCACAGAATAGACATACAGACATGCCGTAAACGCCATAAGACTGCCAATACCATGGACAATCAAATGGCTATCTTTGATTATTGATTATCGTTCTGCATTTTCCAAAATTTTGAACTGAATCTTGGCAATTTCTCGCGACTACTTCACGACCATGATACATACATTTCTTAAATTGAACTTTTTGAGCCAAACACGTACACATATGATAAAATGAATGTCACCATCGTGTTCTACGCCCCAAATTAACCATAAAACATCTGTCGCAGGCTGCGAATTTCAGTTTTGATTTTCGGGGATATGTGCCTACCCGGTTGACCTGACCTTGACCCTGACCTATGCTTGACTGACCCCTACATGGAGCTGACACTCTTGTAGGCCTTATATGATGGATTGTGCACCGTTTTGACAACGTTTATGACGAGAGGCGCCCATTGCGAAGCCCTGAAGTCCATGCTACTGAAAGCCCGATTTCAGGTGTTTGACCTGACCTTGACCCGACCTGTGACCTCAAAATTCAACTTTAAAGTACTCATCTGAAGCGTCTCGTCGCGCTCTTTCGTTTGCCGCCTCGTGCGTTTCGCTGCGCCTATTGGTTCTCGAGTTATTGGCTGGGGGCGTTTAACGCCCACCCCCAGCAAACGGTGGGTGGCGAAATACCCCAGCAACTGCCGGGTTAACCCGCGCCCTTATGAGGGGCTGCTATTTTTGTCCCCCCCCCCCAGTCTTTTCGCGTTATCTCTAAAACTAAAGCGCCGATCGTCGCGAAACTTTCGATACCCTCTTATACATTAATTTTACACCTTGTGACCATTTTTTTCCAGCGAATATGTTAGGTTGGCCACAAAAGACATACTTATCCATGTGCTTAGATCTGTCATCTAAGGATCGCTGAGAAGCCGCTAAAAAAGAAAGAAAAATATCGGGAAAAAGGAGCCGCTCCGGTAGAGTTATAGTGATTGCTTATTAATCTGATTATCTGGTTATGGCTAAGCGATGTATCTGACTCTTTCAGATGCATTCAACGTTTCGTGCGCCTGCCCGGCCGGCTTCAGCCGCTGTGCCGGCCGCTGTCTGATGCGACTGGACCGGGTGTTCGTCTACACCGATGCGGAGAGCCAGTGCGCCGCGCTGGGCGCCCACCTGGCCGTACCCCGCTCCGACGAGGAGAACCAGTGCGCCATGAATGCCTCCCTTGATTGGCCAGTCTGACTGGGGATCACCGACGTCGTCACCGAAGGCCAGTTCGTCGGCGCCGACGGCTGCGGCACCGTGCCTTCCTTCGGTCCCTACTGGGCGGACGCCGGACGGTCAGCCCAACAACCCCGGAGGAGTGCCACACTACGTCGCCCTGTTCCCTAAGCAGATCGGCTCCTTACCAATACCACCCGGCTGGCACGATCTCGAGTCCAACGAACTGCCAAGGCCTCTGTGTCAATGGCCCTGCCACTGATCTACGGAACACAAACAGTCGGTGCTAACAACACAACACAATGCAAGAACAATCGGTGCAAAGAACATCCATATTACACAGCACACTTGGCAAGTGCATATAACAAATGCACAAACACCGCAAACCCATGCATAAACACAAATAGAACATGCATACCTACAACGCACACATGTAGCGTTTACAAAATACAAATGCACGAACCGCGTATGCATATTCAATTGCACAGCACATAAACAGAGCATACGCAATATACATGCATGCACAACATAAACAAACACAAAGAGTGTCTAAACATAATAATACAGGATGTAAAAAGACAAAGACACAGTCACACATATGGTTACATTTGCCGCCACTGAGCCACATAACTCAGTACACACACAAACTAGTCTCAAAGTTGCGACAATTTGAACCCTGCAGGCAGAGTTGCGTGCATGAAGATCTCACTTGAATCAGAGGCCAGAGGCCAGGTATGACAACGGCCGTTTTCATGACGGCCATCTGGTACACATTTCGTGCAGACTTGGCGCAGATTTGGTGCAGATTTGGTCTAATTAGGTTCATTGTATTTCTTAAAAGTTATCAGTTTGGATTGCACAGATGCTTATATATCTCATTAATTTTTAAATTATCAGACCTTATTTTCGATTAAGACACCGAAATAAATTCATGATATCAATTTATTTCTTGTAAAATAGCTTTGGTGCGGATTTATGTCAAATAAGGTGCATTCGCCAGATAGCCTGTCGTGAAAACGGCTAATATTTATCACTCAACTATGTATCTAGCTTTCGCGTTATCTATGTTACGCGTTACACAATAGCCGTTTTGACGACGGGCTATCTGGCGAGTGCACCTAAGTTGAACAAATCTGCACCTAATCTCTTTTACAGCAAATATCTTTATTTTATGAATGTATTTCAGTGTTTTAATCATTGATACTCTGATAATATGACAAGGCAGGTTTATAAGCATTAAGCAATTAGTGCAACCCTAGCTGACAGCTACTAAGAGACACACTGAACCTAATATGATAGCACTATACCTATAGTAGATATCATAGACTGAAAACATTTACCGTGGTCATACCTATTGCTACCGTCTTAATATGATTTTACGCGTTATACGAGTATGTTGTGCTACAAGCAATATGTCTTTGACCTTACCACAAAAAGCCTAAAGACTACACCGTAAAAAGTCTGCAAATCGGAATGATGTTTTGAGCTAATAAACATAACTCTTCGATCACATATACAATCACACAATTTTATCAATTGTGTGAATCACTAAACGACGCATGCCTTTCCGCTCCCCTTATTTTACCCATGTTAACGGTCGACCTTTCGGGTCTGTTCGTTCCTACGTTCTTTTATCTTGTGTTCAGCCAATTTTACATTGTGTTTCTGTTGGTGATATTAGACGATCATTGAACAATATGAACATGGGCTAGACATTTCCATAACCTGCACCTTTAATCTCGAATACGTGTGATACGCTGCTAACTGCTAACCATACAATCTCAAGCATGTAGCCGTAGGTTGCGAGCCTGACACAGAAAATGTGAGTATTTTCTTTTCTTAATTATTCTCTTGTTAATAAATAATATTTTTTTTATTCTCAAGGCAGAACACATGAAACAAAATAAGTATCTCTTAATTCGATTACATATTACTTTCTTTTGCCTTTTTCATAATCCGTTTTCTGACATATACCTTTGGCACACTTCAATTCACCAGCTAAAGTTGTTACAAATATTGCTGCTTTTCATTTTACAATATAGCACTGCTGTGAGTTCTCAGTTCCAGCTCGTTCAGATCCGTTCGTAGTAGTACCATGGTAGCACTTATTACTAAAGGACTCAAGCAACAACGACTGAAAGTGACCAGACATTTATTGTTCGCACTTCACAACACATAGGTAGAATAGTGCTAAGACGTTGCAAAGAGGCTAGCTTTGCCATTATCAAAAATCACTAGCTGCGGCTCTTTTTGCCTAAGTTGTCGCGTGGCTAGCCAAACCTGCCGGAGACTTTCAGAAATAAAGACAACAAAAGCCGGTGATCTTTCTGTTGGTATAACTGGCCTCAGATCAAGAGCCGTTAGATCAGTGCACGCTTCCAATATATGAAGTGTCCGTCATTTCAGTTTGACAGCCGTTGGACGACCGTCAGACGACCGTTTAGACGGTTACGACGACCGTGAGACGACCGTTTAGACGGTTGACGACCGTTACAGACGGCCGTTTAGACGGTTGACGACCGTTACAGACGGCCGTTTAGACGGTTGACGACCGTTACAGACGGCCGCTTAGACGGTTACGATGACCGTGAGACGCCCTTTTAGACGGCTGACGGTCTTAGACGGTTTTCCGGCCTTCTAGGCGGTTTAACGGTTTGCCGGTCTTTTAGACGGTTTAACGGTTTTCCGGCCGTTTAGACAGTTTGACGGTTTGCCGGTCTTTTAGACGGTTTGCCGGTTTTCCGGCCAGTTATCCGTATCAGTTCAGCGGTCGCTGACAGAGTGGCCAGGCCGAGAAGCGGTCATCGAGGTCGTGCCAGCCCACCTTCCACCCGCCGCCGACCATCGTGCTGAGCGCAACCAGCGGCTGGGTATCGGGGTTACTCGGCTCGTCCACAGCCCAGTGCTGCTCCGCCGGGGGCACCTCGCCGCAGCCGTCAAAACCCGTGTACTTTCCGGCCAGCACCGTGTTGGTGATACCCAGCCACACCTGGATGCCGGTGGCGAGGTCGACGGTGCACTGGTGTTGGTGCTGAGAGCGAGGCACGGCCAGGTGGGCACCCAGCGCGGAGCAGGCTGTGACGGCCTCGGAGTGGCTGACTGCACCCCCCTCATCCAGTCGCTTCAGGCAGAGGCCGGCGCAGAGCGTGAAGTCGGGCGGGCAAACGCAGCTGCTGGGGTCTGTGTATCGAAGCGGCAACAAAATATTCCGTTAGTTTGTGTGGGGTTGAGGTAAGTCGTAAGAGAAGGCTGACTGCTCAGGGCGCTAAGTGGCCGTAAATTATTTGAGGGCAAAATTGATGCATTGAAAATTGAAACATGTTACTTTTGTGTTTGCAGGTTACCATAGGCGGCAGAACGGGGGGCACCGGGGCACCGTTCCCCCCTGAATTCTGCAAGGGGGCACCAATAGCAAGGTGCCCCCCTTACATTTGATGTATTAGTACCAGGGGCGGATTCGGAAAAACTCCAAGGGGAGGGTCATGAATCGAAGTGGTGCCCCTACCTATACCCAAAATTAAAACCTCAACGGATTTCGGCCACTTTATTTTGGTGGTGCCCTATTTTCAGTTTTTTTTTTCTTTATTTTTGGTTAGTCATGTGATGGCTATTGGCTGGTGCCCCTGCTAGGCCGCTGGTGCCCCTGGAAAGACTGTGGTACCTACCTACCCTGCCCCCTGACAAGCCTACGGTGGGCCCTAACATGACTTAGGTGCCCATGGACCCTGACAGGCCCGTGGTGCCCCTGACAGGCCTGTGGTGTCCTTGCTAGACCTGTGGTGACCCTGGGCCTTGGCAGGTCTGTGGTGCCCTTGGCGAGCCTGTGGCGCCCCTGTTAGAACGCAGGTGCCCTTGACAGGTTTGTGGTGACTGGTGCCTCTGACAATCCTAAAGTGCCAACGACAGGCTTGTGGTGCCCTTGACAGGCCCATGGTGCCCTTGCGAGGCCGGTGGTTTCCCTGCGAAGCCGATAGTGCCCCTGGCAGGCCTCTGGTGGTGCCCCTGGCAGGTCTGTGGTGCCCCTGGAAGACCTGTAGTGCTTTTCCTAGGCCGATGGTGCTCCTGGCCATCGGCCTAGTAGTGCCCCTGCTAGGCCTGTGGTACCCCTGGCGGGCCTGTGGTGCCCCTGTCGGCTGTCAGGCATGTGGTGCTCCTGGCAGGCATGTGGTGACCCCAGGCCCAAAGTTATGACCCATGTGACCTCCCCCCTGGGATTCGCCACTGATTAGTAGGTACTGCGATGGCTTCTTGGGAATTTGATACATATAGGATAAATGGAATTTATCAAACGACAATGAGGAAGAGACAAACACATAGGTACTTAAGGATCAGCTTAAAGTCAACCACACATACGGGGGTGAACTGCCATTTTCGTTTAGTAAAAAAGAAAAGAAAAAAAATCATCGTGCCAGGGCTGTGACGAAAAATAAGTGGCCTAAATCCGATGAGAAAACAGGATTTGGGGGTACCCTAGGTTTGGCTCCTTGAGCTGGTGCCCTTGAGACAAAGGTGATGCCCTTGAGTTTGAGACAAGGGGGTACCCCTTGTCTCAAATCGTTCCGCCGCCTATGCATGGGTCACCACCAGTTGTTACTTTTAATCGCATAATAACATAGCCAATAAAAACAAGGCCAATTATTCCCAAACCATGTTGATGGGATAAATAGTCAAAGACAAATTAAGAAGTGACGGCCAGCTCGAGATGAAATAGGAAAAACCGATATCACTTTGCTCTGTCCCATCGTGATACTGAGCATCTGCGGAGCCGTTCATTAGCATCAGACACACATGATGATTAAAAATTACAATTATTAACCTGCATATGCTGCGACGTTCTAGTCGGATCATCTCACCTGAACACATCGAGCGGGCCATGTAATGTCCGATATTCTGCTGAGAACTGTTACCGGCCGATCCACCGCAGCGACCGGAGAACAGACGGCACGTGCCGTCGGCTGGATTGTAGCTGAAAGCATTACATCGATTCAGAGATTCCTCTTCACATTTCATCCCACATTGAATATTTGATTGAACTGAGACGGCCCGAAGAGCTGGGCTATGAACGGGTGCCGGGTCCAGCCAGCGGTACCGGACCGCGGCCGCTGCCGTCACCAGGAGCAGCAGCAGTACCGCTCCCGGCCGGGCCATGGCTGCGAGTGGGGCCAGGTGCCAAGCTGGGACCTTTGCGATGTTTTTGAAAATGGATGCCAGTATGCTATTCAAACTTATACTAATTTTCTATGTATATTTCTCATTTCCTGTACAAATCTTGAGATCACAAATGACTGCAAAATCAAACATGAGATGTCTGCTACGAGTGTACTGACAAATGACATTCTGAACAACCATTGGCAATTTGAAGTTTGCCAAAGAATAAAGCATAACTAGCGGAGTCAATATGTGCCAATTTACACAATATTTCGAAGCAATCAAAGTGGAAACGGACCCTGGGCCAACAGTCAACACAATACTCGCATCTGTAATGTGTATTATGTAGTACAAAAAAATATGTAGTACAAAATATGAAGTACATATTTTGCATAAGTCCCAATAACTTGTTTGTCCCATAGCTTAGTCAGATGATCAGTAGCTCAGTAACTCAGATAGATCAGAGTGTCGGGCTCCCGGTCGTCAGAGAACGGGCTCGAGTAGATCCGGAACTCGATCCAGGAGACATCACTGGGAGGGATGGTCTTAGGGTTAGGACTTATGTAGGATCCAAGTTACAATAGCCGTTTCACGACGAGTTATCTGGCGAATGCACCAAACTTGACCAATTGTGCACCCAAGCTATAAATAGCTTTTAACCCGCGCCCCACTGGGGGGGGCTATTTATAGCCCCCCTCCCGTTTTTCTGCGATAACTTCCAAACCGCTTGACGGATCGACGCCAAACTTTCAGTACCTTCGGCTGCATCATTTTGACATCTTGTGTCAAAATTTGAACTTCGTAGCTACCATAGGTCGGCCGGAAATGATGTCAGAGTGACGTCACGTTCGTCCGATTTCGACGCAAAACATTGAACCACGGCAATCGTTCCCAAGAGCTCAGTTTTTAAGCTAGATCCAATTTCTTTGCATGAAAGGACTCAAAATTGACCGCGCTATCAAACTGCTATCTGGGATTTTCAAATTTTTGAAAATTTCGAAAATTTTATATAATAATATTCAAATTTTATATTTTTATATTTTTTTTTCAAAAACTTTTTGGCTTTTGGAAAAAAAACGGAATATATGTGACAGAACGCATTATTATGACTAACTCTAGCAAGTTTTAGCTAAATATCTTCAAAAATGGCCAAGTTATACGCATTATTGCAAAAAATTCACAGTTATCAATTTTTCAAATCAATTTTTCAGTACGTATTTCACATCGTACACCAATATAAATGGCACCATCGTGTTTCTGAGCTCAAACTGCATCCAATAGACACCTTTTTTGTTGAAAAATTTTAACTTCAAAATTTGACCTTTTTTCACCTGAAAGTGACCTGACCTAAGCTAAATTCGACTCAAATGACCTCGAATGACACAGACGACATCAAATTCGAAATCTATGGCCTAAATGGACCATAAAACATGTGTCACGTGACCGACGCATGATATAATATTTTCGTGACCTGTGATGACCTGACCCTGACCTGAAAATCAAGGTACAAGTTTGGTACCCTCAAGGTATCTAGAGCATCTGTTCACGAGTGTGGAAACCAAAAATGAGCCTGATCTGGCTGGTAAGACGGCGGCCAGAGCCCAAAATGTGAACAAGCCAAAGTGCTAATAATTTTTACTTTGACCTGACCTGTGACGTCATCGGTGACCTCAAGGTCAATGAAATTAGGTTTCGCTCGACAGTTTTTCCGGGGCTATCAGACGCCGTTTGAATTTTGACGATCGGCCCAGTAGTTTCGGAGTTAGGAGGGGGGGCTATGAATAGCCCCCCCCCCCCCCCCAGTAGGGCGTGTTATACACAGACCCCAGTGGGGCGCGGGTTAAGAAACACAATGAACCTAATTCGACCAAATCAAATCTGCACCAAATCCACATCAAAATTCAAATGTGAACAAATGTGTACGAGATAGCCGTCATGAAAACGGCTGTAGTTATAAATGGACAAGTATTGTATCGAGAGTACATGAACCTCCAGGCTCCACGAATCAAACTATTAAAACAGTTACATTTAAGGCGTAAGTTACATTTTACAGTTACATTTTAAGGCGCCTTAAATGTAACTGTTTTAATAGTTTGATTCGTGGAGCCTGGAGGTTCATGTACTCTCGATGAAAACGGCTATATAATACCTCTTCAAACACCTTTTGTAACCTAACAGTACGCTTGAGAAACGCTCGCCCCTCGCCACAGCCCTGCGGTAGCGGATGCGGTTTGAAGCTATCCGGCGCGGGTCCCCGTTTCAATTTGGTTTCAATGGGGACGGGGAGAGCCGTGTTATGTGTGGCTATTGGAAGGGTTATGGGCGTCTAGCGGCCAAGACGCTTTACATGCTAATTCCCCTGTCGCACCGATATGATAAATGAGGGTCGGCACTCGGCTGACAGGAGGTATTGAAAGGGCAGAGGGGAGCGAGAGAGAGGGAGAGAGAGGAGAGGAGTCCGGCGGGAGGGTGCTCCCAGACCGTGGGGAAGGGTGAAGACGGTGCACGTGTCGTCAGTAGCTGCTCATAACGGAGCGAAAGGTAGATAGGAACCTTGAATTCCAATTTCACTTTCTTCACAAGCAACTGTCACAAAAAGTCCGGTGGGGCCAGCTCCTGCCCCAATATGTCCATTTTCCAAACTTGTCGTATTTCAGCTTCATTCCACAAACAATCTGTCCTATCTCAAAACCACTCCCACAAGCTCATTCATCAGATTTTTATCAGCAGATTGTTCGTCCTGCCGCAATAGCTGCCCGTACGACCGGCATTTCCCTCCACCTCTTCAGCTTCGGCCTTTCTCCCGAGTCCCGACCATTTCCAGGCGACTGCCCTCCTCCCTCGCTCGCATACCAGCGATCACCAAGGGGAGGGAGGAGGGAAGAGGACGGCACATGATACCCATAACCCAACCACAAAGGATCATAGTCGGCGTTAGGGTTCCCTGAACTTTCACACATGTGTCTCCTTAGCCTGTACATACTTTTAACCCTCGCCGGACCTATTGGTTTTCTACATACGCGCCGGCCGAGGGGGGGGGGCGGGTACGACCCCCCTCGCCGTTTCGCCCCTGGTGGAGCTAGCGCGTCGCGGAAAAAACGAGCGTGTGCGCCGTTATGAGACGCAGAGATTGGTACCCGATTTTTTCCCCGATCGTGATCCGCGATCGGGGTCTGCGCGCTCGGGGAGTGGGGTTGGAGACAGTGGCGCAGCCAGGGGGGGGGGGGGGTCAGAGGGTCAGCTGACCCCCCCGAAATATCTGTCAGGGGCCCGCTCGAGAGAGAGAGAGAGAGAGAGAGAGAGAGAGAGAGAGAGAGAGAGAGAGAGAGAGAGAGAGAGAGAGAGAGAGAGAGAGAGAGAGAGAGAGAGAGGAGGGAGAGAGAGAGAGGGGAGGAGAGAGGTCCTAATCTAACCGGACGAGAGAACTGGCCTGGGCCCCTGGGAGAACGGGCCCGGGCCCCCTGGGTGGATGGGGCCCGGGCCCCCCGTGGATGGGTCCGGGCCCCGGGAGAACGGGCCCCGGGTGGACGGGGCCCGGACCCCCGGTTGGATGGGGCCCGGGCCCCCGGGAGAACTGGCTCGGGTCCCTGGGAGAACGGGCCCGGACCCCCGGGGTGGATGGGTCCGGGCCCCCAGGAGAACGGGCCCGGGCCCCCGGGAGAACGGGCCCCGGACCCCGGGTGGACGGGGCCCGGACCCCCGGGTGGCCCCCGGGCCCCCGGATTGATGGGACCCGGGCCCCCTGGTGGACGGGGCCAGGAATCCCGGTTGTACGGGGCCCGGAGCCCCAGGTGGACGTGGCCCGGGGCCCCGTGTGGATAGGGCCCGGGCCCCACTTATGCTGGAAAATTGACGTTTCGGACAGATTTGGGACTTAATGCTATATCTACCTGCGGCACGTTAAACTTTCGATCCAAATTATCACCGGTGAACCGGGCGCGGGCAAGGTGGGGTGGTGGGTCCGTGGTGTTATTCGCAACAAGCACTGCTTAGCGGGGCACCCGGGCCCATAGCCACCCATTCATCCATTCGGACAAAATTTCTAAAAAAGTGCCCTCACGGGTGCACGTGGCGCGTGCCATCCCTGCACCGCACACCATTCGATAGCCCGTTCGATTCTCTACACGATACTGTGTTCCCCATGCCGATCGGGCCGACGGTTACCGAGATACTGCACGGGGACCGGGCCAGTATCGGGCAAATTTAGCTATTTTCGCACGATTTTGCAAGCCGATTTAAACATGTATTGTAAAGTCTATGAAGCGAATTTGCACTTTTTAAGCCACGCCATGTGCTCGCTGTCGATCCGATCGAGCTGAGAGTGAGACCCTCGGAGGCACGTTGCCCATCCTTGATCTATAAATCGCGCAAATTTCAGCGCACTAGGCGCAACGGTCTGGCCTGTATCCCGCACTAAGTAACACCATGCCGGGACCTCGATAGCAGACAGAATCTATGTCACCACATCACCACACCACAACAAATCCGGCCCGAGGCAATACATGTCCCATATGAGCGCGTTAACCCTCGCCGGCACAGGCCATTCCAGCCATTTTGCGTCCTTCAACGGCACAAGGGGAAGGGTGGTACGACCCCCCCCCCGCGTTTGGCCCATGATCGAGCTAGAGCTTCGCGGAAAAAACGAACGTGTTGCCCGTGACGAGAGTAAGCCGATGATACTCAATTTTAAGGTTCTTGGTCATTGGTTGACCTTCCAGGTCAGGTCAAGGACCCAAAAATCGGGAAAATCGGGACCTGTTAGAACGTCGTTAAGTGTGGCTGCTATATGGTTTTCGGTGTGCTGATCACGAATAGTTATCATGTTAGTTTTGACCACAGATGATGTCTTTATGCAT